TAAAAATATCTTGCAATCAACTAAAAAAAAGAGAGTCAAACATTAAATGAATTAGCTAGACCCATAAGATCCACATCATCTTTAATGCTTTAGTCATAGGATTTGTAATAATTAGATTAATGCTAATATGCTTAATAAGCACTTTATATTTCTTTAATTTCTTTCTCATAATGAAATAATGTGTCAATATTTTTATTTCGGCTTCCACTTTTATTATTTAAAAAAAAAACTATAGCCAAATTATTATAATATATTTTTATTGATCTTGATATGAAATTAATAACTTTAAGATTGTAGATCACTTATGTTGTTCATAGCATGTAATAAATGTTGCTTTTATAGTAGATGAAGCAATAATAGTTTGCTTAGTATTTTTTCAAGATATAACTCTTTATACAAAAAGAAAAAAATATATTATGAAGTAGATTTTTTTATGTTTACGCTACTAATAAAACTCAAGTTTGAATAACCAATCACCTTAAAGTGATCAATATATCTATAAATCAACTTGTAATTTTTGATTCTTTGTAGGTGCTTAATGATTTTTTTAATGGTTTATTCCTAAATTATTTTGGAACATTCCTAACGTTTTTATTGAAAATTTCAAGGTAGGTCTTCTATAGACTTGTGCATATATTAAATTGCCAACTACAAATGCATAGATAATGTTATTTATTTACTCATTTTTCAATATATTTTGTAGGTATTGATTTCAATTTAATATCTATTTTGACTATAGGTGTGAGACATTCTAAATCTCTCGAAAACCTTTTCAACACATATCTTTTGAGATAATTTTAATGCCCTTTTAAACTTATCAATGACATAAGAGGCTTTACCTAAATATTTTATATTAAAGTTTTGAGAAAGAAATTACTGTCTCATGTAACAAATCTAAGTCACAACTTGTAAATAAAATATCATCTACATATAGAAAAAATATATTTATTTCAATTAACATTAAGGTATATACATTAATTAACAATATTCTCGATAAAATCGTATAAAATTACAACATTATGAAATTTAATATACCACTATCTAAAGGTCTGTTTTATAGATTTTTTTAATTTACAAAGAAAAATCTTATTTTATATTGCTTGATATTACATAAATATCTTTTTTTATTTTTTTTAAATTTTATAAATCCATTTACAGGAACAAGATCCTTTGGTGATTTTTGCGGGCGGTATTTTTTATTTTTCAAAAAGAAAAACAAAAAAAAGAGATTCTAATAAAAGTAAAATAAAAAAAGACGCGACACATTTCCCATGCAAAAATGTATTTGGGATCCAAAATCAGTGGTTTCTATTGTATTTCAGTCTCATAAATATCTTTTCCCGTCTCATGGAACCCATGATATGAGCTTTATGCCAATTTCTACACATCATTGCCTTCAACTTTATAAGTTCGATGAAATTCCTCAAATTCTTTTTTTTTTTTTTAAATCAATTAGTTGCCATGCATTCAATATTCTCGTAGATGCTAAAGAAAAAGTTATCAGTCAGCTTTGCTTGATCCATCGTATGTGTGTGTGAGTGTATGAAGCATTAAAAAACGACGATTCCCATTTAAGATATATTCAAGTTTCAGTCTTTACCTGCCTTTTCTTTTCTCTTTGTTAATTATTAGCTTTTGATAAATCAAAACTTCTTGCTTTGATTGACTGATGATTGTGGAATTTTAAAGAAATTGCCTTTGATAAATTAAAAACTTCACCCCCGGTCTCTATTCTTTGCACTTTGTAGGCCTGGGTTCAACTTCATAGGGCTGGAGCAGCAGGGGATCTTTTGAGACCAATTTAACCTGTCTTGTATGCAATTGATAGAACTCTCATCTAGGATTTCTCCATGTAATATCACATTGGCTAGACCTAATGTGCAGGAAATCTTGGCTTTGTTACGAAATTATAAGGATGAGTGACAAGAAATGGAGATCATATATCGAACATACCAAGGAAGAGTCCCAACAAGAGCCTAAAAAATTAATAGATTATGAAAAGACTAGGAATCAAAGAAATACAAGAAGACCAAAATCACAAAAAATGGCTTAAGAAACCTTAGCCATACTATTTATTGTCGATAAAAATATATTGGTAATGTTAATAAATGCAACAATCCAAAATTAATTAACTAAGAAAAATAAAAATAAAATCTTCTAGGGCTGCTTATTTGTTTTTGTATTTTAAAAGTATTTTTTTAAAAAATTAAGTTTTTTCACTTTAAATTAATATTTTTTTAGTGTTATCAAATCATTTTGAGGTGTTAATATAAAAAATAATTTTTTATTAAAATAAAAATACAAATTATAAAATAACATTTCTGAACAAAACAAACACTCTAAAAATAATTCTTTTTATACTTTCAAACACCGGTCTTCCAAAACTTAGCTGACTATAAGAAGTCAAATCACTATAGAATATGGCCGCAGAATCTCTTAACAAAATCTAATCTCAATCACATGATCAACTCAAATGTTATTCATATTTTTGTCAGAAAAGAAAGATCATAGACGATTCAAGAACTCATATTGGACCTGAACTTGTCCATTTGATTCATAAACACATCTCTTAACCATTCCAACCTACATCATGTGGTGTCCATCTAATTTTCGAGTATGGAAGGTGTAATGGATATCTTAGGAATTGTTAAGTTGATAAAAGAAATCATATAAAGATCGATAAAGTTGTTCGTTTCATGAAGAAGGAAGTACCTACAGACTGAAGATATTATGAGTCTGCTGTATATTGTCTCTTTCTTGAATTTTCTGTCGATTTCAGACCCTTGATGAATTTTAAGTCCCTAACTATTTCCTATACAGAAAATCGGATAAGGATTGATAAAGTTTGTTGGTTTCATGAAGAAGAAAGTCCCGAAAGACTGAAAACATTATGAGGTTTGCTGCATATTGTCTCTTTTTTGAATTTTCTGCCGATTTCAGACCTTCGATGAACTTTAAGTCTCTAGCTATTCCTTGTACAGAAAATTCTATTGTATTTAGATTGACTACAAATCTAGATGTAAAAGCTTTCTCAAATTTTAAATTTGACAAATTTCAACATCCTGATCCATAGCATGTCAAACACCTATATCTGAGTCCGACAAATATAGGCTTGATTCTTTTGCCCACTTCGATCATTTTTATTTCTCGAAACAAAAAAGAAGACAAAAAGGACGCTGCACATATCTCTTGCGAAAGTGTATTTTGGATCCAAAAATGAGTGGTTAATATCCTGTTTCACTGACAAAATTTTGATTGAAGTTTTTTTTCGGTTTAAGAAGACAAGTGGCAAACCTTCTGTAAACTTATTTTAATATTTTTTATTTAAAAAAAAGACTTTCTATCAAATGGGATTTTAAAAAATAATTTTTACTTTATTTATCAAAAAGAAAAAAAAATGTTTTTAGCATTATTTTTAGAAAATATTTTTTATTCTTTGTATTTTATAAAATTTTAAGTATTATTTTGAATTTTCATCAATTTTAATTAAATATATTTTTTACTATAATATATAAATGATGGAAAACACTTTTTCTTTTTAGGATATATGAATCTTGTAAGGCATTTATATAAAATATTTTATTAAAAATTTATTTGGATATACGAGTTCATAATAAATTTAAAATGCTAAATTTAGTAAAAAATATAAATCTTTATTTTGAATTATAAATAAACTATCAATTTAGAAGATATCAATATCTTTAAATTTTTATAGAATTTATAATAAGTTTGTAAATTTTCTTAAGGATTTGATCAATATTTTAATAAGTTTTTTTTTTGTTTTGAAAATCAATGATTAATATTTTAATATAAATATTAGATTTACAAGCGGATTAATATTTAAAAATCATTAGTTAACTATAAAATTCTAAGTATCATTTTGAATTTTCATCAATTTTAATTAAATATATTTTTCATTACAATATATAAATTATGGAAAACACTTTTTTTTTTAGGATATGTGAATCTTGTAAAGGCATTTATATAAAATCTTTTATTAAAAATTTATTTGAGTATAAGAGTTCATAATAAATTCAAAATACTAAATTTAGTAAAACATATAAATTTTTATTCTGAATCATAAATAAACTATCAATTTAGAAAATATCAATATCTTTAGATCTCTCTCTCTCTCTCTCTCACACACACACACACACACATATATATATATATATATATATATATATATATATATATATATATCACATAATACATCTTATTTCAAGGAAATTATGCTAAAAATATTAATTACCTTATATAACTATAACTAATAACCTTAAACTAAACAAATAACTGCCACGAGGAGTGCAGGTGCGACATAAGAAGTAGCATTTACTATTTCTATAACAGATTGTATGGAGGACAAAAATGATAATAAATCCTGCCGTTAATTTTGTAATAATTAATAAATATTAAAATTTTAAAAAGGAAAATATAGATGCATGTTGTAAATGATTAGCTTATTATTTATATTTTATTAAATTTTAAGACTAAAAAAATAAGATTAATAGTAAAAAGTAAAGTAAAGTAAAGAAGATAAAAATGAACTTATACGAAGCATCAACTTCGAGGTTTTCTAAGTACGTGGAAACTGAATAAAGCTTCATTTATTTAATGAAAACCCAATAATATTTTTTTTAGATATTTGGAATAAAGCTTCATTTATTTAATGAAAACCAATAATATTTTTTTGTTAGATATTTGAGAATATAATAATAATTATTTTTTAAAATATTTTTTTTTATAAATATATTAAAATAATATTTTTTTTATTTTTTAAAAATTATTTTTAACTTTTTCATGTTAAAATAATATAAAAATAATTTAAATATATTAAAATAATTTTTTTTTAAAAATTACTTTTAACAATTTCATGTTAAAATGATATAAAAATAATTTAAAATAAAAAAATTATTTTTTTAAAAAAATATTTATGAAATACAAAAACAATAAGTCGCATATGCAAAGCTAACAAAATAAATAAACTACACATCCTTAGCTCGACTATGAACGTGCTCATCTCAACTGAAAGTTACATTGAAGTAATGGATGAAGAAGCCGTGCAAAGTTGCTATTTGCACAATTTTGCTTCATAGAAGCCTTATTCCATGAATCCAGGATAATGCATTTCCACAGGGAATATATCCCATTCTAGCATCTCCAATATCATCAATATCAGTCATCAGAAGTTACTGATGACCTTCCTTCGCTATCGCTGTCGCTGTCGCCGTCGCTGTCGCTGTCATCATCATCCCAGTCTTCATCATCATTCATGGATGCTGTGTCTTCGCTGCATACAGAAAATTCCAAGATATCCCATTTTGGCAACTCCTTTCTTAAATAATTATTCCACCGCTCATTATAAATATGCAATGTTGTTTCTTGATTGTTACTGCCTTTGCCATCTTCATCCTCCTCTTCAACATCCGGTTTTCCGTGGGCTGTTTCTCGGTCGTCGTTGCCATCTTCCTCTTCATCGTCAATAGAGGATGCTATTCTTCGCCTGTAATCCCACCTCTTAACATTTGGCTTTTCTTTGGCTGTTTCTTGGCCGTCACTTCCATTCTCCTCTTCATCATCGATAGAGGATGTGGCTTCGCTGTCATCGCTTTCCTCAACATACAGCTCTTCCGGGAATGTTTCCTGGACGTCACTGTCCTCCTCTTTATCATCAATAGTGGAAGCTACCGTGTGGCTGTCACTCCCATCCTCTTCATCATCAATAGAGGAATATGCTATTGCTCGCCTGTCATTCCGCTTATCAACATTTGGCTTTCCCTTGGGTGCACTTTCTCGGCTTTCCCTATTGTCCTCCTCTCCAACATTTGGCTTCTCTTCAATCAGATAGAACCCAAGCTCTTGTACAATATTGTCACCCTCTATTATTTCCATAGACATTTCCAATTGATCTCCAGCTTCTATACCTTCCAGCACTACATACTTTATCCACGAACAGTTATCGCTCTTAGGAGATATGGAATCTTCAAGCAACCGAAAACCATCTGTTGAGATTTTGATACCAAGCTCACACTCTGTGGATTCAATCTCGCAAGCACAGACAACCCAAATAACCAGTCGGACTTTACCATCCGAATCTGCAGATGGGGGTGCCTGAAATGATAACGAATAACCTTCTTCAGGATTGCTGATGAACCATTCTGGTACAGAACCACCATCCAAGCAAATCGAATACTCATAACGCTTGCACAATGCCTATTGATTTCAAGCAAAGGTGAAATTTAGACCTTATTCAACATATATACGTACTTGCTAACGTTAAGTATATGTATGTGCCAGAGAGACAGAAAGATGAGAGTACCTCAGCAAGACTCTTCTTAAATTCTTTTGACAAACTGTTGCTGCCCAATAAAGAAAAGTCACAGTCAGAAACATCTTCAATGCCCTGAATCTCTGTTAATTTCTCACAGCCGTCCGCATCCAATGTCTCTAAACTCGAGGGAAGCTCTGAGATCGATTGAAGATCTGTGCAGTCCTCAACCAGCAAACTCTCCAGCTTCAAAAGCCCACTAATGCCAGAAGGAAGCGATTTAAGTCTCGAACATTGGTTCAAATTCAAGGAAACAAGTCTCTTCAATAGGCAAATAGATTCATGCACTTCAACTAATCTCTCACAATCTTCAAGTATTAATTCCTCTAAACATGGGAGACCTAGCAAATTTGGTGTTTTAGTAAACTTGGAATAGCTGAGGTTGAGGGTTTTTAGCTTGTTCAGAACCTGTTAAAGGAGGAAGGAAAATCAGAGGAAAGTCATCAGGAAAGACAATTTTTAGTTGATGAAATTTAAGTTGCAATTTTACAGGGCAAACTGGAATTTTCCTACCTTCAATTCTTTGATGTTATAACTGTATTGCAGTTCAAGAACAATGAGGTTGTCTAGATGAAAATCCAGTGGTAAAGAATTTAAAGTAAATCCTTTCCAAGAAAGCCATATCAACCCTTTGGGAAAAATTTTGAAGGACCCAGTAAGATGCACGGCATCAATCCGAAGTAATTGTAAAAATCTCATCTCTTTAAAGTATTCTGTCCTCAGAGTTAAGAATTTTGATGCTTGCACATCAAGGGTGCGATCCTCCTCATCCTCTGTTCCCAGACCCTTCTCATCCTCTGTTCCCAGACCCTCCTCATCTTCTGTTCCCTGAAAAGAGCGCAAGATTTAACAAAATTTGTCATCGGTAATGGTTTACCATTAATTACGTCCATGCAAACCTGTTTCTTAAAGAAATCTTAAAATTGGACAAGGATCGATAAGACTCGGGTTTCGGATAGGACTATGCATATGCCTTGAGTTCTTACCATCCGGTAATTGGTCCATATATATAAAATCTAGCCAATTGAATGCATAGATTATACTGATATTTAATGGGGCTGTCAGTAGGTTATATTGATATTTAATGTGTCGCTATATTCAGCTCATTATTCACAACAATAACATATAATTCTTTATGTCAATGAAAATTTATTACGGCATTGATTTTGGCAGTCTTACAGTTTGCATGATGTCCTCATCAAATTCATCAAGGGTGAGACCCTCCACAGATTCTGTGCCCTGAAAAACCAACAAAATTTGACAAAATTACCAGAGGCAATGATCCAATCACAAAACTATTTCTTAAAGCATTCCAAAGTTTGTCAAAAATAGAAATAAATCAATAAGACTCTGATTTATCTTTTAGTTCTTTACCATGTGGTTGATGAGCACATCCAATGCATCCTCGTGATCCCAGATTCTGCTGTGTTTTCCAGGATATTTATGTGAAGTTTGACGAACAATCTCCCTTCCCATTTTCTGTACCAGATCATTCATCATTATGGTATCGTCGAAATCAATTGTTATGAGAGACCTTTCTTCCAGAGTTTCGATTCGGCTTCTAAGATTATTGCAATAACGATAACGACCTCCAAGTATTGAAGCTACAAAATCTACATCTTCTCCAACAAAAAAACACGCAATATCAAGAAATATACTCTTCAGATCATCTTCTAGTGAGTCATAACTTCCTTTAAGCTTGGAATGGATTTGATCAGGAAATTTACGCAATTCATAAATTTCCTTTTCCCATTCATCACGTTCACTTATTTGAGAAAAACGATTCCCCAAAACTACGAGAGCTGAAGGAAGTTTTCCACTTTGCTCAACCACAACTTTTGAAAGCTCCGCCCATTCTTCTTCCGGAGTTTTTCCCTCAAAAGCATGGAAATTGAATAGGTCAAGGCACATCTCTTCATCCCATTCTTCAACCGAATGCTTTTTGTCAACTTTAAGTTGAGCAAGCAATTTTTCATTTGTAGTGGTGATGACAATTTTACTACCCTTACCAAACACACTTCGACCCCCAAAAGTATCTAATTGTTGCGGTTGGTCCATGCCATCAAGAACTAGAAGAATTTTTTTGTTACTAAGTAAATCTTTAATCAAAGAAATTCCTGAATCAACATCACTAATTTTCTTTCTCTTCAAGATATTTACTCCCAAAGTTTCACGTATAAGTTGTTTTTGTAACTCAACCTTGCTGTCAGGACCTTTTGATTTTTCGTTGACATCAAAGAGAAAACAACTTCCATCGAATTTTTGAAAGAGTTTTTGGTACACAACTTTAGCTATGGTTGTCTTCCCCATTCCTGGCATCCCACGTATGCCTACCATGCTAACATCATCTGAGGCATTAAGAGACTTGATAATATTATTGACACAAGAATCAATACCTACTAGGTATTTTGGTATGTTTAAGTTTTTGATATCCAATTTGTTCAACACATCTTTGACGATCTTTTTGATAAGTACTGATTCATCCCTGTCAATAGATAAAACTAGGTCATCAAAATTAAACCAAATAATATTTAAACATGCTCAAAGAAGTTATTTTAGAGATTTAGCTAAATTTATTCTTATATTTTAGTCTCAGTTTCTAACCTGTTCTTATAAGTCTATTTGCTTTAAATTTATCATTTTTTTATGTAATTTTCTAATTTATCTTTTTAGTAAATATATTCTTACGAATAAAAAAAATACTGTTACTTGAGAAATTCAAACCCTATCTAATTTATTACAATTATAAATTAAATAAATGAAAACAATTGTCATCTTGTGTTAAAATTCATTTAATTTCATGGTTATGTTTTTAATAAACTAAGATAAGTTTGTGTTTCTCGTACAAGGATATTTTTATGTAGCGAAAACAACTTTTAAGATCTCAAGTCAATTGTTACATTAAAAAATATAAAAGGACAAATACAATCAATCACACAATAATACCCATAAGATTTACAGGGCTCAACAACTTATGTCTACTTCACGAGCTAGACAACAAGAGAAATTTCCTATAAAAAAGTATGAGATGATAGGGTGTTGCACAAAATTAATTTTAAAGTAATAAAAATCTCATATTTTCTCTCATTTCTCTAGCCATTAAAATGTAGAGAATAATAATAAAATGAGTATTATCCTAAAAAATGATAACTATAAGTTTTTATAAGAACTAAATAAATGGATATTTATTTTCTTACAATCTAAGACAAGCCCAATATTTTATTATTTTGGATTAAAATATTTAACTAAAAGATTGAGGCATTTCCATATATTCATGAATACATTAAAAAACTAAATCTACAAGGATAAATTAGAAACTAAGTTTGTAAGGACAAACTAACTTAATTTAAACATAATTACTTATATACTAAATCATGTAAGATTTTCACTGTACATTTTTTTCTTTTCAGTTTAGTCATATTTTGTTTTTGGACAATCAAGTCATATTTAAAAAGTAATTAATTTCAAATGCTTATAAAAAAATGAGATTGGAACAGAGGGGTTCAAAATAAAAAATATATCAAACATGAGTGACGTATCATAAATTTAAAAAATATTCATTTTAGTTCTCTACCTTTAACAATCATGTAAATTATAAAATTTCGGTTCCTTGAAATTATTCAAATTCCATTTTGGTATAAAGATTTATTTACTTTTTATTTTTTTGTTTTTGGTTGAGATAGGAAAAAGAAAAACTTGTTGTTGACACCGATTTAAGCTATTAAAAAATTTTTTTTGTATCAAATTATTCTATTTAATGAGAGGAATTTATATTAGGGGTTTAAATACCTTACAAGTTCGTGAAAAAACAGATATGAACTCAGGTTAATTTTTGATTTTGGTTTAAGTTTGGTTTTTAAAGTGTTTTTTTGAGGTTTAGAGAGTTCATAAATGAGTTTTTCGTAATTTTTACTGTGTTTTATAGATATTTTAAGTTAAAAAGTGGAATGCAAAATAAATTTTTGGGTTACAAGAGCATAACCCGCAGAGAATATAAAATAAAATATTTAACGTTTGATGCATATCACATTGCTAGTTTTAAGTAGACCATGTTAAGAAAAAAAATGGTTTCTGATTGATGCACAGGGAATGCTAGAACGAAAACAATTACCCATTTGCGGTACTATAGATATCTTTCCCGGAGAGGTTGGCAGCATCCTTAAGAGCGTTTTTCCACTTGTCGATCTTCTCCTTTTCTTCTTTATTTTCATATGCCTTAAAAGCTTTTTTGAAACTCCCTTCTTGTTTACGAACATGTGAAGGATCAACACCACAGAATATAGGAAAAACAGTTCTTCCCTTTGTATTTCTGCACTCAAGAATCTCAACGAGTTCATTGAGACACCATCTAGATGAAGCATAGTCTCTGGAGAAGACCACTATCGAAATTTTTGATTCTTGAATTGCCTTCTTGAGTTGCTGGGAGATTTCTGCTCCAGGAGGAAGTTCTTCATCGTCTTTAAACGTATGGATTCCTGCTTGGACTAAGGCATTATAAAGATGACCTAAAAAGGTTTTGCGAGTATCTGCTCCTCTGAAGCTTAGAAAGACATGATAGGTACATTCGGTTAACAAGGAAGAGGATGAAAAGGAGCCAGCCGATAAGAGCTTGGAAGCCATAGAAAGGCACAGTTCAGTTATGTGTGTAGCAAATAGGAAAGGTTTGTTGAAGGGTGAAGGTACTGAAGTAACTGGTTATTGGTCTCTTATATATAGCAAATAAGGATTGTAAATAACTGTACACTCAGTGTTATTGAAGTAAGGAGCAGGTCCGTGGAAATTGGGATCATCCTAATCATCCAACGTTAATCATGTGCAACATTATCTTGTCTTTTTTTTTTAGACAGGTATGCTCTAAAATATTTTGGATTAAATAATCTCCGAGAAGACCCTTGAATAAATCATCTGTTACACTCTTTTGATTTTTTATTGTAGAAAACTTATAAAAGCGCATGATATTACTCTCAAATTCAACCAACAGTGTTATTGAGGTAGGTGTCAAAAACAATGTTGACTCCAAAGGTTAACATTAAGATTCTAAGACCTTGAGAATAATTAGTTAGCTAATTTAATGAGAATAATTACTCTCAAATTTTAACCTATTGGTTAGCTAATATATATATATATATATATATATATATATGTGTGTGTGTGTGTGTAAGGCAATATACAATAATAATGGTAGAGATTATAACATAAGAGTATACCTATAATATTTCCTAGGTACATTCTATACTATGTCCCCTCAAACTAAGGATAGAGAATCAACCCGAAACTTGAAACAAAAAATAGCAGGTGGTGGCTTAGTAAAGACATCGGGAAGATGGTCATGAGAGGAAATAAAACGAATTTGAATCTTTTTCTTCGCAACTCTATCTTGGACAAAATGATAATCAATCTCAACATGTTTTGTACGAGCATGAAAAACAGAATACATGTAAATAAGTGGCACCAAGGTTATCGCACCAGATGATATGATTAGAAATAGACGAAATCTGAAGATCTGTTAATAAATATTGAAGCTAGATAACCTCAGCAGTGCCATCGGCTAAGGCTTTATACTCGACTTCAGTAGAGGAGCGAGCAACTATACATTACTTACCTGATTTCCACGAAATTGACGTCTAACCAAAGAACACAAGATAACCACCTGTAGATTTTTTTTATCATTGATATTACTTGCTCAATTTGCATTTGTAAAGCCATGTAATGTGAAGGAAGAGCTAGGAGTAATATGTAGGCCATATGTTGTCATACCCTTAAGATAATGCAAAATGCATTTAATGATAGCCCAATGAGAATATGTAGGAGCGTGCATAAACTAACAAACTCTGTTAACTACAAATATCTAGTCTCGTAAAAGTGAGATATTGAAGAGCACCCACAATTTGACAAAAGCGTGTAGCATAAGAAAACAAAGGATTGTGCAGTATGATAGATTTATATGTAGAGATAGGAGTATCAACAGGTTTGTAAGATGTCATACTAGCCCAAGTTCATACTAGCCTAAGTGAGGATGTCAAGTGTATATTTATGTTGTTTTAGCATAAGACCCATACTAGTAGACTGAACCTCAATACGTAAAAAATAATGAATAGTACCTAGTACCCAAGTTGTGAAGCTAAAATTCTAAACTCATTAATTGGATGAGGCGTTGAAGTAGAAGAGAGTTGTTACCCGTAAGCAAAATATCATCAATATAGACCAGAAGATAACAAATGCCAGTACCAATAAAGAAGATAAAGAATGAGGTATCTGATGATTAAAAAACATAGTTCAAAAATCATAATGGTACATTACATTGGCCTAAAAAGGTAAGACCAATTTAGACAATATATCGATAATGATGCTCAACGATGCTATTTTGTTCATAAGTATGAGGACAAATTAACCAATGATGAATACCAATGGTCTGAAAGAATTTATTTAATTTATGATACTCATCACCCTAATCAGTTTGAACAGATTTAATTTTTAGTGAAAACTAATGCTTAATAAGTGTTTGAAAATGATGAAAGATGAAAAACACATTAGATTTGGCAACAAATGGATAATACCATATATGTTTGGTATGCACATTGATAAATATAACAAAGTAATAGAAGCCATCAGAAGAAAATATAGGGGCAGGCCCCAAACATCACTAAATATTAAATCAAGTGGGGCAGTAGTTTTGTGACCTGAAGGTCACAACGATAGATGCGATGACTTGCCTAGTGGACAAGCTTGACACTATGTAAGGAAACTTCCAGAAGTACACACAATTGTATTGTCAAAAACTAAAAAATTTAAAATATGAGGGGTTGGATGACCTAAACAACGATGCCACAGGTCAACAGTCGCGGAGATGCAAGGAGACCAAAAAACTTGAAGAGCCAACATGACAGAAGACTTGGAGAGGACATAAAGGCCATCATTACTCTAACGAGAAAAGAGAACTTCCTTGGTTATGAGATCTTTTACATAAAACACAGAAGCATGAAATCCAAAATAAACATGATTATGACGATATAATTTCTGAACAAATAACAATGATTTGGTAATATGAGACACATGAAGAACATTAAATAATGTAAAGATGCATTTTAGGGAATGTAATGTAGTATCTCCAATATGTGATATGTCAAGGCCCTTACCATCACTAACATACAAATGATCATTACTAAGATAGGTTGGAGAATCAGTTAGAATTGGAATATCAGGTGTGATGTGTTGATTTGTGCCATTGTCGGGGAACCAAGTTGTAGCAGAAACATTCCCAACAGCAAGGTGAGTAGAGGGCTGTTAGGAACTGTTGCGAAACTAGGATAATGAGGAGCTATGTGATCGAAATTGGAGCACAATTAGCATCGAACATGCTGCTGCCCAACCTTTATGTTGCTTCTGTTCTACTACCAATTATTTTGCCTTTAGTTGGCAGCAAATTGACCCTTGTTCTGGTGGTTATAGTGGTCATTGTTGGGACACTAGTTGCCATGAGAATAACCTATGTTACAACTAAAATTTGGGTTGTGATCAGACATAGCAAGATAATTAGAGGGCTATAATGTTGACAATATTGGTGGCTATTGCAATAGAAAAGAAGACAATATAAAAAAAGAGAACAGAGAGGGAGCGACATCCATAAAATAAAGGGAGCTCTTGTGTAGAAATTCATGGGTAAGAAGGTGGATGTGAAGATCAACATATGATAGTGGTTCTGCTTTGGTTATAAGACTTATTACCAAGTCTTTGAATTCACCACGAAGGCCACAAAACATATAGAGATTGAGGTCTTCAAGAGACATGGGGTGACCAAAAACAACCAATTCATCAAATAATAATTTGGCTTGTTGTATGTATATACTAACCGATGAGTCACCTTGTCGAAGATCTTGAAAGAAACCATGGAGTTGCATGATATGAGAATTAAACGGAGATGTTAGAGCTTTCTCAAGAGAGCATCAAATATTACGTGAGGTATGACAATCTACCACGAGATGCAACACATCCATGAAGAGAGGAGAGTAAGGCACTCAAAATAAGTTGATCCTGTTGCTTCTAACGGAGAGAAGGGTTGATTATAGAGGAAGAACCAACAAAATTGTCAGAAATATGAGATAAAGGACATGAAATTGAGCTATCAACTAAGTGAAAAACACCTTGACCAAGTAGATATGGCTTTATCTGTATTTTTCAATAGAGATAATTTGTGTTCATAAGTTTCCACGAAACAACTTGGTGGTGTTTGATAGAGCAACGATAGCTGGAGTTTGTGTTCCTATAATATGCAGAGGAATGAAAGAAACTTGTGAAAAGGAGTCATTGAAGTGTTCTGCAAGTGAGGGTTGATGTTATGGAGGAAGAATACCACCGACAACAGCTTGTAGATGGCTGGTCGATAGGGCTGCACCACTAGTAATGAGAGATAAGTCAACTATATCAGTTATAGAGTTTATTTAGGAGAGGAAGAGAGAAGACTGGCTGTAAGGGCAAGAGGGAGAGAAGTGTTCTAATGATAAAAGGCTCTAATACCAAGTTGAGAATAATTAAGAGACTTAACCTATTGGTTAACCAATTTTTTTTTTTTTATAGATATGTGTAGGGTAATATAGAATAGTAATGGTGAAGATTACAACATAAGAGTATGCCTATAATATTTCCCATATAGGTACATTCTATAATATAAGAATAATTTTATATTACTTTTTAATACACTTTCTTAATTAAAAGCCCGTTAAGATTAAAATTTGTATACATTCACTGCTATCTTGTATTTAATTTTATTAATAGTATGGAAATGATCTTCTATGGAATAGTATGGACTATCTAGCATTATAGGAACAAATTCTTATTTGAAGCAATCATTTTATATTATGATAAAGCAATCATTTCCTGTGTAGTTTGTTCTTCATTATCATATATATGTTACCCTATTCATATATATAAAGAGAGGGTGGCTGTCACATTCTGCAAGCCTTTTAATTTACACGAAACGTTACTTCATTATCTCTTTAATTTGGTATCAGAGCTTGTTTATCTTAACCAATTTATTTCTTCTTCCTCTGCTGCCGAATCTTCTTCTTTGGTATCATTACCACTTATGCTCTCCTATGCAACCGCTACAACCATGTTGCATCTACTATGATAATATTTATTGGTTCCTTAGTAGCCATTACTATATTTGATTGGTTGATTAGTACTTAAAAGTGTATTTTTATCATGGTTTTATATCATCATTTTGCACTTGAAGTATCAATAACTCCTTAACTAAAATATGTTTTATAATAATGTATCTAATAATATAAGATACCTATAATTTGTGGTAAATGTCTATTTTTAATGCAGGCCTATCACATAAATGAAAGGATTGATTGATGACTTGAAGAACTTAAATTGCATGGATAAAGAGATGGTCAAACTTAGAGAAGAGATGTCGGTGCAATCCAAACCGGAACACTGTTCGGTAATTGGGTCATATCTGGAGCTACAGATCTCAGATTTAGGTCCAATTTATATGGATGGAAAGGTAAGACATAGGCCTACAACTTTCATATGGAGCCCAAGATCTAAAAAGGCCATTTTCAAGTCCAAATTGTAGCAACAACAAAGAAGCCCGAATCTGTCTTCCAGCCAGAGCACTGTTCGGTATGTTGGCCATATCTCGAGTTCTAGAAGTCCAAATGAGCTGAATTTTTTACACAAGAAAGCTGAGACAATTGCCTACAACTTTCAT